GAAAGATTCAGTGGGAATCTTATTTGAAGAGCCAGAAACTCAAGTCGAAAGAGAAGTTCGACAAGAGGAGCCAAAAGATATACCCAGTACAAGCAGACCTCAAAGAACAAGACGCATGCCTGCAAGATTGCAAGATTGTGTGATTACATCAGATGATGTGATAGATGATGAAGGTGAGCTGGTATGTTATGCTTTCTATGCAGATGTCGAACCTGTTAATGCAGCTGAAGCATTAAAGGATTCGAAGTGGGTGAAAGCAATGAACGAAGAAGTAAAGTCTATCGAAGACAACAACACTTGGTCACTTGTTGAATTGCCTCAAGGCAAGAAGGCAATTGATGTCAAGTGGGTATACAAAGTGAAGACGAATTCAAAATGTGAAGTAACTCGACACAAAGCAAGACTTGTGGCGAAAGGATTTCTATAGAAAGAAGGAATAGATTTCGACAAAGTTTTTGCACCTGTTGCTAGGATCGAAATAATCAGGCTGGTTGTTGGTCTAGCAGAAATCAACAGTTGGCACATATGTCAGATGGACGTGAAGTGTGCATTCCTAAATGGACCCTTAGATGAAGAAGTCTATGTTAAACAATCAGTTGGATTTGTGAAACATGACGAAGAAAGAAAGGTGTACAGGCTACATAAAGCCCTGTATGGTTTGAAACAAGCTCCAAGGGCTTGGAATAAGAAAATTGATAGTTTTCTAAGGGAGAAGGAATTTGTGAAGTGCATAACTGAACATGGAGTATATGTAAGAAGAAGCAAGAGTAAATTGCTTATACTATGTCTCTATGTAGATGAGTTGTTGATAACAGGTAGCTGCAAGAGTGAGATCGAAGACTTCAAAGGTGATCTTAGCAAGGAATTCGAAATGTCTGATTTGGGTGAGATTTCATATTTCCTTGGTATCGAATTCTACAAGAGCAGTAGAGGTTTGATGATGCATCAAAGAAGATATGCAAGAGAAATTCTCAAAAGGTTTGAGATGGAAGAATGCAACGCAACTTCGACACCTGCAGAACCAAGACTGCAACTGTCGAAAGATGCTGATGAAGATGATGTTGATCCAACCCAATACAGAAGACTTATTGGATCATTGAGATACCTTTGTCATACAAGGCCTGACTTAGCATATAGTGTAGGTATGGTAAGTAGGTTCATGCAGAAGCCAAAGGTATCACATCTAGCAGCTGTATAGAGGATACTAAGGTATCTTAAAGGAACTTTCGATTATGGTATTTTGTTTCCTGCAGTTGATAAAGGAAAAGAATGCAAGTTAGTGGGATACACTAATTCGAGTTGGTGTAGTGATGTTGAAGATCGAAAGTCAACAACAGGATCTGTGTTTATGCTAGGTGGTGCAACAATTGCTTGGAGTTCGAGAAAAGAACCAGTAGTGGCATTGTCATCATGTGAAGCAGAATACATAGCTGCTTCTCTTTGTGCATGTCAAGCAACCTGGATGGTGAACTTGGTCGAAGAGATAATAGGGAAAAATCATGGAGCAATTACCATGAAGATAGACAGTATGTTAGCTATCAATCTGGAAAAGAACCCAATAGCACATGGTCGAAATAAGCACATCGAAATGAGGTTCCATTATCTTCGAGAGCAGGTAGCAGATGGGAAGATGAATTTGGAACACTGCAGAACTGAGAATCAGATTGCAGACATCATGACGAAGGGAGTGCAGGTCGAAGTATTCAGAAAGCTAAGGGCCATGATGAACATAGACAATTTAGACACAATGAATTAGGTGGTGTGTTAAATTGTAATTCATATGTGTCAAAAGAAGATTTGATTTGTTTAGATTTAAATAAATTTGAATTTGAATCTAGATTAGATTTGATTTAGTAAAGAGATATTTTGGGCTTGGGTTTTAGCTTAGGGAGCAAGCTAACCTAAATCTATAAATAGAGGGAGTAACCCCTATTTTTGTAATCAACTCATTCACAGTATTTTGCAATTGCAAAGTGAATTAATAAAGATTCCACAGTTTGTGGGCAGAATAGAAATTCTGCAGAAATATCTCCATTGTTCTTTTATTTGTTTGTCATAACTAATCATCAGTGGTGGTCGAAATTCATCATAGAGTATTGGTGGATTTCCAACAAAAATTACAACAACATCAACACCATTATGTGAGATACATTGCAAGGGTATGAAAAATATTTTGTTCAAGGTAGAAAAACACATAACATTGAAGATTTTTCTGTCTTGCAATCTATCCCAAAAAATGATGCATACGAGTTTGGGGCGGCTACATATAAGTTAGGTTTTGGGTCAAATCTGTTTAACAAATGCTTATATAGTAAAAGATGATTATTTTATTTGTCGATTATTAAGAAAACCTAAGGGATAAATCATTTTTCTTTACACTTATAAAGAAATAAAAACATAAACTGCAATAGCTGGGATTCGAAGTGTGTCCTAAATTGTTTTTGCCTTTAGTTTTATTAAAAACCGAGGGAATATATGGTTATATTTTTTAAAACAAATAAAACATGGCGCGCGACATTATACCTTAGTTTTTTGTTGGGTTAGGTGAAAAATTTGTTATAAAATGTATTATTTGTAGTAGTGAGTAGTTAAGGGTGACATAACCTGAGGGATGTATCATAATCCTCCTTGATGTTGTGTCATTTAACTAGGATTTCTTATAGTCAAACTTGATGCTAATTATTGATTAAGAGAAGATGCAATAGTTATTGCATTATCTGTATATGTAAATGCATTGGTTTGTAGGCATGTCAACATTGCAATTGGCATGCCATATGGATATTTCCTACTACCATGTGGGTAGTTTATATCTTGGGAGGAAAGAAGGCCTAGGGTATCCTGTAATAGTTTGTGTAATCTTGGGAGTAGTTAGAAAACTGGTTGATTGTGGTGGGGAAACATCACCTATGGAAACTTCGTCGAAACTGACGTTTGACTTATATCAAGAGTGGTTTCTCCAATGGACGTTGAAGTTTCTGCACTACCAATCGTTGAATCAATTGGTTATTCTTCTATATTTGGAGCATCATTCTGGGGAAGGGGAGAATTTTTTGACGATTGACGAGCCATCTCCAGAATTTTACCACTTCTCAGACGCATAAATACTCAGACATTGAAAATATTACATGCATGAAGAATAAAACAAATAATAAAAGCACAAACACTTTTTTATAAAAGTTTAAATTTTTTGCATAAAAGAGTCTCACTGACAATGCCAATTTATTTACTGGTATTTTTAATAAACAAATACCAAGTTTTAGTTCACTTAAGGGATTAAATTTGAAAAAATCATAAGGACAATTTGTACAAAACTGTTTGAGAAAATATTTTCAAGCTTGATACCTTAGCATTTGAATGTAAAACAATTAGATAGAAATTTCAAGAAGTAAAATGCAGGATTGTTTGAAAGGGTAAATTCAATAAAGAGAAACCATAAAAGAAATCAAGTAAAAATGTTTAGATTAAAAGTGGAGCACAAATTCATATATTTATTAGTAATTCCTTATCTCTTTAACTTGGATGTTTGAATTTTATAGAGACCAACAATGAAAAATATGAACCCTCATCTCATAGTTGGAATATGTTTATATATTATGCACATCTATAACTGTTGACAACAGTCGACACTCTAGCATTCGACACGTACGTTGTCTTCTTCTTTGCTTCCACGTGTCTTTAGTTCTTGAACTGCTGCAATACTATTACTTCTGTCGAAAAACATCTTTAGGTCCTCTAATTGTCTATGTCAAGAATAAAGTAGCTTATTGTCGAACCCCTGCAATTTTGGTGTCGAAGACATGATTTAGCTACTTGCGCTTAACCTGCACATTTATCTCACATATCCACTCATGTCGAATATGCTTGAGTAAAAAAATATCTGACTAATTAGATGAGTGGAAAAACTCAGGCTAACAGGGAGTAGTGTGACTGCCCATGTCTTATTTAGGACCGCGAGGAGGAGTCTGGTGCCTCTGACTTTTTCTCCAGTGACTTGGAGATCTCGGAATTTCTTCCGACAAGACGCTGATGGTTCGGGAATGACGGTTTGACTCCTTAGGAACCTACCGTTATTGATGGATCTTGATAGAGAACTGAGAAGCAGTACAAATCTTCGATCGAAGAGGATCAAAAACAGAGATCTACGATTCAGATTTAGGAAATTTGAATTTCAAGGTTGAGGAAGCTTCAGTTCAGTGAATCGAGAAGAATGCTCTAATGAGGAAATAGAAGAATCAAATGTTGATTCTCACATATGGCGCCGTTGTTTCATGTGGGAACCATAACTGATCGGTGATCAATGGATGTGGACAACCATGGTGGACTTGAACTTCTGATTTGGTGGAAGAGGGGATAACCTGCAAGATTAGCACTCTAACGCCCAAGTTAGTATGAGAGTAAGATGAAGTGAATGAGATTTGAATTCAAATTACTTGAGAAATGACGCGCTCTCCCTCTTATATAGTAGAGCGGTTATAACAATTTATTTATCTATCAACCTAAAATGTGAATACATGTCTAATTGATTTTGGATTGAGATCTCATGCATTAGTGACTTGGATAGCGCACCTGCTCCGCATGCAATGTAGTGATCATTCTGCTCTGGCCATGATTGTTAGAACAAAATCATTCACTGGCTTGAAATATAATATTATAATTAGATATCTTAAAAGAATGGAGTTGATGTTGAATGGAATGGAATATTAAAATGAAATTGACATAATGAAATAAATATTTTTGTTCTATTGTTTAGATATTATATGATAGAATGAAATAAAATTGTTATTCAGCTTAAATTAGAGTACTAAAAATTATTCGGTAACCAAATCAGATACATGAAATATTTGATAATGAGCAAAAGATTGTAAAATCCACATAAAATTGTATCCTATCTAATAATTTTGCATCCATTACTTTGTTTCCCCCACCAAGTATCTACCTAAGCAACAACAACAAAAAAAAGTGGACAATATTTAAGAAAAAAAGTTAAGTATGACCCAACCTTAACATGTTTGTTCTTGTTTTTCAAAGTAAATTTGTTTATCAACTAATTCTAGGATCCCAAAGTCTCCAAGCACATTTTGTTCATCAACTTCAATAGCAATGTTGAGATCCAAAGAGAGAGATGTTTTAGTCTCCTCCATGTTATCAACATATGAAGAAGCTGTTTCACAACTGAAAATGACAATAGCATCCTTGAGAGACACATATTCAGCACCACAAGGAAGTGTTATACTTCCATTTTCAATAGCTTTTCTAATACCCTTTTGAGTAAAGTAATCAACTTGCTCAAAATCTTCCATGTAGAACACCCTATGAGGATTCTCATTCACACCTTCACCAAATCTTTGTATATAACTACCTCCAAACTCATCTCTTAGCCTTTTCTTTTTGGATTCCTCACTTCCTTTGCAAGAGAAACTACTTATACCAATGGTGACAAAGTCATTGTAAGAGCCAAAAACAACTTTAGCTAGCTCTTTTGAGATTAACTCTTTAGCTTGAGAATCATCACCTACAAACAACATCCATGTTTCTTGTTTACCATCTCTTTTCACTAAGTAGTTATCTTTCTCTCCTCCTTTTCTCATTCCTGACCTGCAAAGAAGGACAGTGCTTGCAATCTCCTTAGTTAATCTTCTCTTTTCATTTGGAACCTTTTTCTCCAATGCATCACATAAAATCTTCATATTCTCATCATTGAGTTCATTCAACATTTGTGACCTCTTCAAACCATCAACTTCTTCACTTGAAGAACCTGAGTTCGGGCTAGAGTTTCGATTCGACAAAACCTGATTTTCCATTGTTTGAACTCTTGCTTCCTTGCAATTTTGGAGCCATGTTGGCAAAGCTATATGCTTGTTCACTTTATCTCCATCTTCAAAAGATTCATCCTTGAATTTCACTTTGCTTCTCTCCTGAGCTTGAAAATTACTGAAACAATGTAAAACAGTTAAAAGAGATATACCAACTTAATTAAGCACTAATACCATAAGTGCTTGTAAAATAAGTTACCTATCAAGACTTAAAGTAAGGTTGAGGCTACCAACACAAGTTGTAAAATGGTCTATAGAACCATGAAGTTGATTAAAAGATCTAGATGAGGACACATTATTAGCACCATGAAGTTGTGGCTTATAAGTGTTGTCCTTGGATTGGCTTATAAGTGCTTGTTCAACCTTGGTTTTAACAAGTAAACTAGAGAAACCAGCTTCTCTCATAACTCTACTAATACAAGGATCATCAAGAATAGATATTATCAACTGTTCAACTTCAATCTTCAAGGCTAAAATAGACTGTTGCTGGCTCTCAATAGAAGTAGCGCGTCGTTGGTGTCCCTGAGCGCGTTTGAACGTTGCGACTAAGGAATTCGAAAGTGAAGGAGATGAATATGGAGGACTACTCAAAAGAGGACTAGATATTGTGGACGTGGGTAAACGGTTTAGGGAAACATTGAAGCAAATCTCTAGTGCTTTGAATTGGAGGGGATGAGAATGGCATTGGAGACATGCTTTGTGGAGAAGGCTAGTGGAATTTGAAAGCATGATAGTGGCAAGATGAAGAGGAGTCACTTGTGAATGACCTCTTCTTGTTGCTAGATTAACAGCTTGTTTAACAAGAGTTTCAGTCTCTTGTGTTAGAGCTTGCAACTGTGTACTGCAAATTCTTAATCTCATCTCTTTATACTTTTGTTTCAATCAAGTTTATTTATTTGGAATGAAACTTGAAGAGTTGAAGTTATCATAAATTTGCTATATATGATTTGAGTTTTGTGCCTTTCTTGTAAGTGAGGGAAATTTTGGCTTTTGCATGTGATGTGATGTGATGCAACTTTTTCTTTCTCTCTCTTGATCTGATATATATAAAGTTGTATGGATTATCAAAAGCTGCTTCTGTTGAACCATAAAAAATGTTGCAAAGCAACACACTTTGAACACAAGGAATGGAATAATTGCTTTTGGCATGAATAAGCTCAAAACTTGATGATGTAAAGACAAAGAGAAAAGAGAGTGAGGAAAAAGAGAAGGGTATGTAATGTAAGCTGCCAATAACAAGGTAATGAGAAAAAAGAGATGAGGAAGGGCTGTCTGTTTGAATGGAGAGTGGCTACCTTTTCTTTTTGTCTAATCTCGAGAAGAGGAGGGAATAATCTTTGAATCATTGATTGATCGAATAAGATCCACTAAATCAAAGTAAAAAGGGGTTTATATGAAACCAATGTCTTGAAATAGGTCTCTCTTCTACTAACTCAATACAAAAATTAGCTTTAGTGAACATTTTACTATAGCTACATTATTGTTTCAATTGGTTAGATATCTATCTACTCAAAACCGATCACTCAAAATCATAATTGTTTCTATTTAGGCCAATCTCAAAAAAATATCGATCCGTACACATATTAAAGATGATTATGTTTCAATGTTGACGATCATGAACGGTTGGAATAAGAGTAACAAAGATAGACGGTCTAAAAGGGAAGAGGCATAAGACCTTGTTAAAAATATTTGTATATAAAATAGTCTCACATCAACTATAACATGTAATTAGTTATATTCTCTCTATATATAAGATAGTGTCTTTTAAACACATAGTTTATTCACACGTCTTTCACTCTCTTATACTTCAATATGGTACCTAGAGCTTGTTAAGATTCAACTGTTCGCCGTGTTTTATCTGGTTGACCCATTGTGTTTCGATGAGAAAATTTTTTGGGTGACTCATTCCGGTCACTATCATATCGCCGCTCTTCCAGCCACAATCGGCACTAGCACCACTAGCGCCACCGCTCCTAACATCCTTCTGACGAAATGCTTATACTGGCAGAATCGTCTCTTCTAGATCGGCATGTTCCCAAAATCTCCCCTCCGCCCGCATTCCAATGCGCCTCATGCGCCATTTCTCCTTCCGCGCGTGGATCTCACGCACCACCGCTTCAGTAACGCGTGACAGCGCGTCTGGCATCCCTTCTCGTCGTAGTTTCCATCGTCAACGTTGCCATCCTGGCCTCTTTCCAGACCTATACTCAATTTTTCGTTTCAAGCCATCAACTCTCATGGGAGACACCAATTCCCACTACCATGGTCGTGGTGGACGAACTGGATGACGGGGTGGTCAACGTCATGGTATCCGTTGTAACTATTGCAATTGTTAGGGTCATATTGAAGCTAAATGTCATACAAAGGCAAGAGAACAACGACAATTGTAACACCCTAATTTCTCAACGTAATTTATAAATAAAAATCAGAGTAAATTAAAACAATTAAACAATTAGGATGTCACATTCAACTTCAAACAGACAGTGCAATAGGATATGTAACACACATGGTATTTAAAGAAAATAAGAGATCATAATATAAGTCTGAACTTCAACATTTTATTAGCAGCGGAAAACATCATCAAATTGGATAGCTTAACTCTTCAAACATAATTATAACAAAATATAGTTATAAAAATGATCAAACATAGAAGATTCGCACAATAATCTCCTCCAAACATAAAATAAATAAACAAGTGTTCTCCCTATTAGTGTTACATATCAGAGCAGACTCTAATTCAACAATCATATAATGCAATTGGTTAATAATATGTAAGCATATAAATATCACATACATGATCACCATTCAACAATTCTCACTCCACACAGATCAAACATCATAATACAACATATATGCATTGCAATGAAACTCAACTCCAGAACTCCATGCATGTGGTACCAATTATGAACTCTCATGTTCATTTCGCTCCCAATCCCCACCATAGGATAAGAGCACACCAAAAATCATTACCATCATCATAGGCAGTGCTTCAGTGATTCCCACTTGGAACCAAATACTCGCATCCAATTCCCACCAATGTTGTCAGAATCGAGATTTTATAAAAGATCGAAAGGAGAAAGTAAAATTGTAAAATAAAAAATCATAATTAAGATCGAAAGATTCTACCTAATTAATTTTATAGAATCGATAGTGGATATCAAGATCGTAAAAAATAAAATCGTAAGAATCTAACAAAATAAAAACAATAATAAAAAATATATTATATTATATTATATTATATAGAAATAAATTCATATTTTAGATAATATAAAATCACCAACCAAATCTCAAATCTTAAACATAAATTTAAAAGCCTCAAATTTTAAACATTAAACAACTAGGTCCATAGGCTAGAACAAATCACTAATGCACCAAAAATTTGGATTATCTCCCATAATATCTTCTCTTTCATATTCATTAATCTCATCATCTTCATCACCATCATCAACATCATCATCAACATCACCTCCACCTGTATCATCATTTCCTCCTTCATTATCACTTTCTATAGTTTCTAGGACATCAAATTCGTCTATCGGTGCAGTTGATTTAGCACTATTACGACTAGTTTGAGCAATATTCATCAAATCTTCATCTAGATCAACCACATTTACAAGTGTAGCACCTACATTTTCTTCTTCAACTACATACCACCAATCTTCATCATCTTGAAGGTCGCCAATAGTTAGATCTCATTTTTTCCTTTCAACCTTATTTTTGGTCAATCTTGTATTTACCATCGCATAAACCAGGTCATTCATAGTTTTTTGCTTCAACCGATTTCTTTTCTTTGTATGAACCTAAAGAGTTGGAATATTAATTTGAAATACATAACACATAGTACATACAAAAATTATATATCATGAGTTTGAAAACATACCATCTCAAAAGCACTCCAATTCCTCTCGCAGACAGAAGAACTACATGTCAAACTCAACACACGGATAGCAAAATTTTGCAACTCTGGGTGTTTATCACTGTAAAATTCCCACCATTGAGTTGGTGTCTTGTTTTCTAGTCCACGTAGAGCTACGTCACTCCCAAATAATCCTTTTTTACTCTTAAAATACTCAAGTTGACCATAAAGTTTTTTCACCATGTCCATATCTCCACCCATCATCCTTTCTAATCAACTCACCTCCTTCTCTATAATGATGCAAAAAAGTTATAAGACCAGTCCTAGCATAGATGTAAGTTGTGATCTTTTTACCTGAAGCAATAACTTCCTTATGCATTGGTATCTTGCTCTCAAAATCCTATGACATTAAATCAATGCAATGATATGCACAAGGTGTCCAACAAAGTCTATTTCTCTTGTCCATCAACATTTTTCCAGCCAACTTATAGTTTGAAGCATTATCCGTTACAATTTGGACAACATTTCTTCACCCACTTCCTCCACAATGTCATCCATCATTTTGGAAACTTTATCTGCAGTCTTTGAAATGGCAGAAGCATAAATTGATTTTAAAAAGAAAGTTCCTATAGGACTATTGACCAAAATATTAATGATTGTCCTCCTCCTTTGATCAGTCCATCCATCAGTCATGATTGTACATGTAAACTTTTTCCAACTAGCTTTATGTTCCACCAATATTCTATCTATAACCTAAACTTTTTTCTTCAAATGCTTATCTCGAATGTCATGGTAAGATGGTGGTGTTGTAACCGGCAAAAAATAAAGAGTCTCTGCCATTAGTTTTTATCCTAAGGATGGGAAATAACAGATAACTTTAATTCTTACAGAGATTCTAAATTCGTAAGTCAATTAAACAATGGGAAGGTGTTAGACACCCTTTATCTCCCTTGTTCTCAAGGGGTCCACTTTTAGGTTTAAGGGTAAGATGGGTATTTAACAGTCAATGTTTCTATATATTTGAGAAAAGAATTTTAGTTTTTTAGTTATGAACTCGTCTTGGTTTTAACCGCATGTCTATGTATCTTCTTGCGAAGAATCAGAGTCCAATTACGTAATTCGTATGTATTTGGTTAGTTTTTTTATGGATCGTGGAAATATTTTAGAATTACTCTTGAACTTTGTCTGGGTTTGAAAATAGCATAGTCGTAGACGAAGTTCGTCGTTAATATAGAAAATATATCCATAATCCTTTTTTGAAAATAAAGTTGAATTTGAATTAGGTTAGTAGAAAAACATGTTAAATTTGATGGATTAATTGTCTTAAATGCATGATACAGTTTAAAAAAACAATTTTGAATCACAAAATATTTGATGAATTAAAAGAAAATAGGATTAGTATTTTTGAAAATTATAAATAAATAATTATTTTCTTATTATTAAAAATATATTAACTATTTTTAATAACAATCAAATATTTTATCATAAGTGATTTTTATGATAAGTGAAAAAAAGAAGGTATTTTAATGCAAAATGGCCAAAAAAATGTTATGAGATAAAAAATTGGCAATTTATAATAATTAAATAAATTAAATAAACTAGATAAAACAAATAAATAAAACAGGTCAAGTAATAAAATAAAATAAAATAAAATATTTAATTAAAACCCATATGGTGTATATTTTGTTTAGTAGTAAAAACAGGGAGGTGTAAGTGTCAAGGGCTCTAGCCTAGATACTTGTTTCAGGCCCAATTATGCAGAGGGGTCTAAATTATAACTAAAGAAGTAATTGGGGTGTATAAATTGTAATAGGCCAAACCCAAAGTTGAATTAGAATTCATATAGATACGGTATAGGTGAGCCTACGATGTTATGGTGTATTGGCGAAGCTGGAAACCTTTGATCTCAAATGGGTCCCAGAGTAGGGATTCACAGTAATCAAAAGAATGAAGAGTTTTCTCATATTTTTTTGTCTCTTTCTTTGTTTAGTCTTATGGTTTATAT